CGCCACAAGATGCATCGTTTAAAAATTGTATCAATTAAGACACATCAATAACAATATATTTTTCTATTTACGTCCAAGTGAATATTAGTGTTCCTCCACTAGTAATATCAAGGGGTATTCCATCACAGTCAGCCATGCACATACAAACATTCAACATAAAAATATGTATTCATCACATTTAATCATATTTTATAAAACATATACTAAAATGCAGGAGTAAATAGACATACAAACATTCAACATAAACATATGTATTCATCACATTTAATCATTTTTTATAAAACATATACTAAAATGCAGAAGTAAATAACTACAACATTCGCAATGATATGACCAATAAAGAAAAGAATAGCTAAATTAGAATAAAGCATCCACAAATATCATTAATTGCAAACATATATGAGAAGAAACAAATTATTGTTATAATTTAAAAGTACAAGTACTCACCCTGATGATTAATGGCGATTAACTTAAGCTTAAACTTGTTTTTATATCGTATCTTCTAAGTTTAAAACCTAACCTAACATGATATTTAACACATTTATTATTTTAACAAACCATTTAATTAAGTATTAAAATGTTGATGATGAGAAAGTCGGTATTGCACAGGTTAATGAATTTGTTGGTAGTGCTTAAGAAATGAGTTTGGAGAGAGAGAGAGAGTTTAGGATTTATGCAACGAGAAAATTGTTGTTGATGCCAACAACGAGCACGTTTAAAATAAGGAAGTGAGCATCAAAGCTGCTTGGAAAGAGGTGAATTCTAAAAAAGCGTCTGAATCTCCTGTAGAGAAAGATGTAGATTCTGTAATGACTTTCTCCTCGGTGAACTCACATAAGGAACAGTCAAGGAGAATGATCCTATTAAGGTAAATTCCAACAGTTCTCATCAAAATAAAGCATTGAAGAAAGCAGCAGCAAGCCTTCAAGCAAGCTTTGAGAGCAAGAAGTGAACAAGGATAAACTAATTAAGAAAATGATGACTATTGAGGAAAGAGTTTCAAAAACTTTAACCAATTTGACAGAAAACACCTTACCCATATGGAGACAAAATTCAGCTGGCATGTCACTTAGTCTCTTTACTAAGGTGTCAGAGAATTTCACCTATGACATTCATATAGAGGTCGAGCATGGAACAAAAGTTGTACTAAAGTGTTAGAGAAGTTCACCAATGACATTCATATAGAGGTCGAGCATAGGAGAAAAGCCATACTTACAAGGAAATTTTTAGGAAACAAAATTTGGCTACTTTAAGGGGGAGATCTCTTTCCTAAGGTTCCTCTCGCTGCTTCATTATGTTTAAGTTGTTTTTGGAAGAGCATCAATTTCCAATATGTTCAGTTCAAGGGTTTTGCTTTAAATTTCCTTCTTAGGTTTTAAATATGTTTTAAAAGGTGAAATCAGAAATTGAGGTGTTTTTTTTTTGTGAGGAGAGACGTAAGTCTCAAGACAGATCAAGGCTTAAGCCTCACAAAAAAAAAATTATAACTCATAAAATTATAATTCATAAATATGACAATTCAAAAACCATAAAACATGATCATTAAACTTAGAATTTTTAGGAATTGCATATTTGCAATTAAAATTAAAACCATAAAACATGATCATTAAACTTAGAATTTTGAGGAATTGCATATTTGCAATTAAAACTAAGGGGATATACATACATACCACCCAATTCTTATTAGTTTTCATACCTGACACCCTAAACCTTAAAAAGAATTGGGAGGTATGTATGTGAGTAAATCTCCCTAAAAATAATTTAAACCTGTTTATAAATCTAATGATTTAATAAACTACGAAGTATATAAACTTATGATGCGCGTTTACATACATACCACCCAACTCTTCGAAGCTCTGGACCTAGAAGGCTCGGGACAGATGTCGCTGCGGATGCTGGAATTCAACGCTCGGGATGATGTTGAACTTCGAAGATTGGACGATTCTTCGATGTAGGCACGCTCGAAGGCTCGGAACAAAGTGAGAGGAAGAAGCAACGAAGCTCTTAGAACGACACTCCAGCCCTAATTTGTGTGTTATGTCGGTTGCATCTAATTTAAATTAGATAATTTCCTTTGCCGCCTTATATGATTCGAGGCATAAACGCCTAGAGGCATACACCACACTGTAGAAAGGCATAAACCTAGCCTGCACATGTGAGGCTTATGCTTTGAGTCGCAGCCCAAGCACCTCGAATCGAGGCACGCCTCAAGATGGAAGCCTTGAATGTTCTTTTAAATGTTGGCCATAAAAATGTATTCTATTCTTTCTTTTGAAATTCTTTGTATAACAAATCAATAAACGAGATAAGATGTCAAAATAAGCTATATTTTGTGTTTTCTTTTCTTTGAAAGTTCTGTGATGGAATTTTAATATTCAATGAAGCAGAAAAAGTTGCTTCCGAATGAAGATAAAGATGATGCACACGAATACAAAACCAAACAAATTGCTTCATGACGAATATGAATTCCAATGAAGGAGGAGCTAAAGACAAGGATGAAGACAACAAATCACATTCGGACGAAGACCAAGTCAAATGAAGATGAAGCCGAAGATAAAAAGCAGACTGTTGACAGCAAGACGTGCGAGGCTATGATACCATGTGATGGAAAACAGCTCTTTATCTTATTCCTCACTTCAAAACACATGCTATATATTAATATACACTCTCATCTCTATAGATTAGAAATATCTCTAATATAAAAGAGATCTTGAGAGTAGATCTTCTCTAATTAGATTACCTAATATCACGCTTCCTAATAAAAAAGTTTCCTAATATGCGAGCTTCAGGTTTATTATTTTCCATAACAAATGTACTTCAATCTATCGTTTGTACTATCCATTAATTTAATTGATGATTACCAGAGAATTGGAGAAGATAAATGTTTGACACCAACTTCAGAGCAAAATGATGCCAACAAGTAACCATTTGGTTATTAATAACTTTGAATCAAGCAAAATTTTCATGTGTTAGAAAAACTCAAATTAAGCTCTTTTAGATATTTTTCAATCAAGCTTCTTGGACTTGTAAGGCACAATCGAGAAGAAGGCCTAGCAAATGTTCATTAGTATCGATCTTACCTTCAACCATGAAGAGTATGAAGTCAGCCAAGAAGTCAGCCAATGTTTTCACCTTGATTGATCCTAGTACATGAAAGATTTGGATTCTGCTATTCTCAACACTTGAGGAGTAAGCCAAAAGGACAAATCTACACAAATATGGCTTACCAAGCATGGTGAGTGACAACATAGTACATGAAAGATTTGGATTCTGCTATTCTCAACGCTTGAAGAGTAAGCCAAAAGGACAAATCTACACAAACATGGCTTACCAAGCATGGTGAGTGACAACATTAAGGACAAGAGCTTGAAAGTATAAACAAAATTTTTGGAAAGTAACAACTAGAGCACAAGTCTCAATTGGCTATCTCATTTCAACATAGATGATTTTCTAATGTAAAATATTGATCATTGCTTTTTTCCATCTATTTTAATTAAAATTGAACTGACCAGCTCCTCACCCACATAATGATAGATGAGTAAGTTGTCAGTGTTAAATGCCTAGTTGCATTCATTGGTCCATTGAAAATCTTTTGCAGTTCTAAGCTTAATGAAAAATGATTGGTATTTGTTTTTAAACATTAAAATGAAGTGCTTTAAGCATTCAACTTGGCCTGTAAATCATAAAATTATTTTGTAGTTCTAGGAGTGTATCTACAAAATAGTTATAACTTTGTCAGTGTTCATCTTTATCTTTTCTGAAGTGCGGAGAAAACCCAAAACATCCTAAACCTGCTTAGAAAATAATTTGAGAAGTTGAGACTCGTTACAACCTTTCAACATAACAATTGTTTCCACGGTCTCAATGATATGCTGAGCCAAAATCTTTCTTTACAAAAAGATCATCAAGAGTTTAATGTTAAGTTTTTTTATTACTATTAATTAAATTCATCGATAATACAATAATAACTAGTCCTAAAATTCTTCAATCTGAATGGCATGATGTTGCAGGTACAATGCGTTGATTGTGTGAGACCACTTCTTCCAATTGGCGATATACATCTAAATTTGATGATAAAGAAAACATCAAGAAAGCTCATTACTGGAAAGGTAATTGCAGGGTCTACGAGGGAGTCATTCCTAGGAAATGGGTAGCTATCCTTGAGAGGTTAAATTTAATTTGAAGACAATGCATATCCTCCAATTCTTGATAGCTTCGTGGATCATAATGACATTGAAACCTAGTAGGGGTATTGAATTTCTTTGATAAAGCCAATTCCCGATAGGTTCTGGACATAGCAGTATGATAGATTTCCCAAGGGAAACGGAAACCTTTAAAATATTTTGTTTCATAAGCAAGAATCTCCAATCAATATTAAATCTATAATACGTCATTAATGTCAGCTCCTAGCATTTAAGATGCCAACCAATCAAAAAAATGGATACTCAAATGAAGGCAGTTGGTGAGTTGTAAGCACTCTGAATAAAAAAATTAATGAGTGAAGGACAATTAAATCATTGTCATCAAAAAGTAAGACTACTCAGGACGCAGACCTACTCCAACTAATTAAAATCAAGTATAGAAGCACTAAACAGAGAGCATGGATCATGTCATCCAGTTAATAGTAATATTCTAATACAGCCATTTCTTTATTCAGGGGATATAGAATATATCCATTAAAAGATGTGGCAGCACCGGATTAAAAATGCTTTTCATTTGAAACAGTCAATACGTCAGCAATAGATGGTTCTTCATCACTCTATTCTACTCAAACATTATGCGTAACTGAATTAGTTTCTAAATGGTTTCGTTATTAAAATTTAAATGCATAAACAGCTCAATATGCTACAAATACATCAACAAGAAATAAATTACAAATCTTGCAAAGTTCTAAATCATCAATTCAATGTCCGTTCTTTGAAATATGTGAATTTTTGCAAGAACAAAAGGAAATCATAGAAGAGATTCCTAGAGAAACAAACAAGTTTAGTGGTACTAACTTGGTAGCCGTGCCACTACGATCCAATTTCTGCATCAGAAGAGCTCTGGAACGTGCATTTAGAGACTGCAACAACGAAATAAAGGTTGATAAGAAGTTGCCAACATAATATAAGGCGGTGTTTTACCCTCCATTAAAAGGCCAAAAGCCCCAAAACATGTGGCATAGGCCCAGTGAGTTTTATATTTAAAATAATTTCAGAAGCAATAAAGATGATTACAAAATAAAAAAAATGAAGAAAAATCTAAAATCCATAATCCATCACCAGAAGATTCAAATGCCAGTAGATATAAATAGAGACATGCAGCACCTTTGACATGTCAACTTCTTCCCAACGAGCAAAAGACAAGCAGCACAAGAAAAACTTGGAACTTCAAAAACATCCGCAACAAAAGGGATACAAAGCATGTCTAACAAAACAAGGTAGGCAAAAAAGCATCACAAAATAAGGGATAAAAGGAAGGGAATTATGGTTTCAATGTTTATGTGTGCTTGTAAGAGAGGAATCAATTTGATCGCTCAACACTTAAAAAAACACAAGGTAAATAATTTTTTTTTATTTTCAATTAAATGAATATCAAAGTTATTTATAATAAATTAAATCCAAAATCCTGGGATAGTTCAATACATATATGGATATGCACTGTTCACATTTCAACGGTGTAACCTTCAAATGAAAATCAAAATGATAAATTATCTTTAATTTATTAAAGCTTCATATGTTATTCAAAGAAATTTAAAGACCATTTAATATAAATCAAATGAATAAGAAATTCTCAATAAATGCTTGCTATTACATGAGATAATAATTATATAATTTTGTCTGCTTTCTAAAAAAATTATATTAAATGCATGACTTTTCTAAGGATCTTTTGGGTCTTTTTTGAGAGTTTTGATATGTAAAAAATGTGGGTTAAATAAGACATTTAAGCTGGTTTCTGAATATCAAAGTTATTTATAATAAATTAAATCCAAAATCCTGGGATAGTTCAATACATATATGGATATGCACTGTTCACATTTCAACGGTGTAACCTTCAAATGAAAATCAAAATGATAAATTATCTTTAATTTATTAAAGCTTCATATGTTATTCAAAGAAATTTAAAGACCATTTAATATAAATCAAATGAATAAGAAATTCTCAATAAATGCTTGCTATTACATGAGATAATAATTATATAATTTTGTGTGCTTTCTAAAAAAATTATATTAAATGCATGACTTTTCTAAGGATCTTTTGGGTATTTTTGAGAGTTTTGATATGTAAAATATGTGGGTTAAATAAGACATTTAAGCTGGTTTCTATATGTTAAGTCATCATCCTTCTTTCCCACATACTTTATGAAATAAACCATCATCTAAAATAACGATATTTAATACATCGGTAATTTTCAGGTGGTAGATTATAGTTTTAGTGTGATCCTAAGCTTGAAGGGCATTTAACAAAAGTGATGAAAATTCTCCAATAGGATTACTCTCCTCATTGTTTTATCTCCTGTCTACCATTTTATACGGTCTTCAAATTGAAAACCACACCATCCATTTTTCTATATTCGATGTAAAATGCACATTTGAATTGAGGTTCATCAATTTCTATAAATAACCTTTCATCAAGCATACACAATATAAATTCAATTAAACAAGTTTAATTTCAACCATGTAGTTTACCGATCAAAGCTATCTAAACATCATTAGCAATCAATTTAATTATTTAATGACTTTTTTATGCACTACATTGATAAACAAATGATCTAAAAAAACTTAATGAAATAGAGAATTTTGCAAGTTTCATGTGTTTGAGAGACTGGATGATTTTTAAATTCCAATGTAGCTCATAATATCAGTGTATACTCGAGGATGGTCTGCATGGGTCTTGAGGCAACCTGCAGTCTGCTCTCGTCGAATTGGCTACCCTCGATCAACTTTTCCTCCAACAGTGGACTTTTCCTCCAATGGAGTTCTTTTCCCTCCAATGGAGGAATTTTCTTGTCGACGAAGGACTTTTCCTCCGACGGAGAACTTTTTCTCCAACTCGCCACCGGAACACGACATATCCGTCAGACAGAAAAACCCCAGAATCACAAATCTAGCGATCGAAGAGGTACCCAGCAAAACACACTAACACAAAAAACTAAAATATCATGTACTACCCATTTAAAGCAAGCGTCAGATTGTAATTTACTTTTTGGACTTCTTATCATCTATAAATAGGAGGGTCCTTTCATGTAACGAAAAATTTGATTCCCCCCACTTGTAACTCCTATTTTGAATGGAATAAAATGGGTCAATGAGCCTGGGAACACTCTGATTCGCCCCAAGGGGCAAGTTTTCCTCTCCTCCTCTCCCTCTCTCCCTCTCTCCCTCTCTCCCTCTCATTTCCTCGGCCCCAATACTCTATCCCTTGAGCACAATGTACCAGACAGATTTGGATTCAACATACTAAAAGATGCAAAGAGCGTGGATCATGTCGTCAACAAAAAGACGAGCAACGTCAAACAAAAACTCTTCATAGAAACGGTCCTAGTAAAAAAGTGCATGAGGAACTTGCACAAAAATGGATTCACTCCATTTAATCATCGCTACCGAAGATCACCAAGAGACTCTGGATTTCCCTATTGCCATAGCAGCAAAAATCTCCCAACCGGTTCTTGCCACACTAAAATCCCGTACAAGTTCTCCCCTCCTTCCACATTTTAATCGAGCTATGCCTTCCACAACTTTAGCCTCCCCTTACAAAATCCCTAACCACTCCCCTTCACCTACGAAAACTTCATCGCCAACACTCCAAAATGACTCCTCGTCATCGACCGAGATAACAAAAACGTCGGAATTCTCCATTACTTCCACTCGTCTCCAGCCAACCTTTTCCATCATGCAAAAATAGCTTGCACTGGTTGTCCAACTAGCCCGTCCTCTTCTACAGTTGTCTCTCCTCATCCGGCCACCACTTCACCGATCGACTGGTAGTTCACCGACCTCCCCCGGTATTTTCCGTCGGCCGCTCTCAGCTGGCTAGCAACCACCATGATACACATTGTCGTTGATACGCTCCGGGTGCGGGTTCTCGTAGTAGGACAAGACCGGACTTTCCTTTAGCATAATTCTCAGCAAACTTATGTTGTCGTCATTGTTGAAGGTGTAGAGGTGGCATGATCCCGAACACCTGGCTGTGGTGTAGCCTCAAGTCGCTCGACACCGACGCCAACTCCAGGTTTCTACCCAACCAAGAGCGGCGGAACACTCCCGATCGGAACCGGAGCCGCTCGCCACCGACGCCAACTCCAGGTTTCTACCCAACCAAGAGCGGCGGAACACTCCCGATCGGAACCGGGTTCAGTATCTCCAACCTCCACTGCAGCGGGTACCGAAGTAGACGCTGTCACCGGTGAGTGGCCTGAGGCTGCAAAAGTGGTTGTCCTGTCTTACATCATAATTCTTGGAAAAGTAGAAGATACAATTATTTGGTCAGGACTACAATACCTCTTAATGATGCCCGAATTTGATAAAATCCAACAAATGGGCCTCTCGAAAACCAGAACGCCACTATCCTAACACTGTTTGATGTAGAGTTTAATACAACGTCCAGAGAGCTCCACGCCGGACAAAAAAACAAACAACCCCGCCAGCTTAAATTTCCGTTGAGCACGACGGATCTTCGCTGCTTGATCATTGTGCACGGTGTGGATCTGCCTTAGCAAGTCTTTGATCTTTGCAGTGTATTCAACTCAGATCTCCTTTTCAGCAGCTCCAAGATCACCAAGTAGCCGACGATAACATAAGTTTGCTGAGAAATTATGCTAAAGGAAAGTCCCGATCTTGTCCTGCTACGAGGACCAGATGGCACGTTTTCCCAACTTCACACTAAACTGACAAACGCGTGGTGTTTCCTGGCCCAAAAGTTAAGAACAGTGCAAAACTTCGCTTCGTGAGACTCCAATAGGCAATCCTCCAATCGCATCAGTAGTCCAAGACTGTACCGGGAATCCATGCCCGGCGAGAAAGGTTGGATGTTCATCTAGCTCCTCCCTAAGGTCAGCGAGAGATCCTTACCAGGGATCACAGACAAGATTCTTCCTACGCCCATACGCCATAGCCGAGAGAGAAAGGAAGATGATCATCTATTATCAAACGTATGCCAAACTATTAACCAGACAGAGAAGCTTGAGGAAATTATGATCCCCTTACGCCAACAAAAAGACTACAACTTGCTTCTTCCAAGAAACCTATACCAACTTGAAGTCGGATCAGTTGGCAACTTTGCTTTGACCGACATCTCACTCCCATCGGCAATCTCACTCCGGCCAGCGACCACGCTGCTCCGGTCGGCCACTCTGCTCCAGCCCATGACCATGGAGGGAGAAAGATTTACATACATACCACTCAACTTGTATATTTACATGATTACACATACATATCACAAAATCATTTTGTACTCCAACAGACTACCCTCTGACCGCCACTCCGGTAGCTTCCTACCGACCACCCACTTTCGGTCGATCATCTACTTCTGGTTTTATTTGTCGATCAGTCAACCATCTTTGATGGAGGCCCCCTCAAAATAAAAAATAAAATAATAGAAAAGAAAAAAACATATTTATATACACACTATATATACTTATACATAGTGAAATGCATAGATGAATACATATCAGTGATTTATGAGCATTTTATGACTACAAGAGATTCCAAATAAAACTTTCTTAATATCTAGTAAACGAATACATTAATTATTCTTTACATGTATAAATTTAAAACTATTTTGTTTTGCATACCTCAAAGTTTATTTTAGACAAATTTTGAAGAAACATACGCCCACAAAGGATTTGCCCTACAATCCTTAAGGTTAAGACTTGGCAGGCTCATTAATTCATGCATACCTTCTCTTAATTAGTCTTAGTTGGGGAACTTTATTTAACTTTTTATTTTATCAATTTTGTAGTTTTCTTTGTTGATGTAAATAAAGACATACTCATCTCTTATCCTTACGCTTTTTATGGGGATTTATGTTGAACCATTTTATTTTCTCTGAGAATCAATTTATGGAAAATCATTGCAAATTGAAG